GCAATTAAGTGTCAAGGAAATAGTTTTAAAGGAAGTGGAGGAGAAACTCGAAACTGTCTTAAAAACACAATGACAGCGTAGCTACCTACCTGCAGAATTCTCTGAGACCCCAATCCCTCTAAAACCCAAGTCTGCGCTTTCCCACCTCTTCGCACAAGGCAGCCAAGCGGAAAACCCAAATTGGTGTGGAGATGGGAATACATATGAACACACAATACCAACCATATATATCTTGGCGTAACTACTGGACCGGTCCCCCTCACCTACAGACAACATTGCATAAAAACAAGACAAGAGGAAAAGTAACCAACAAGGACACTAGCATACTCAGAAAGCTAAAACGGGAAAGTAAATGGGCGCGCACGTCCTGGCGTTTTAAGGAACCAACGGCACAGGCACTGTGTTTTCTCAACAGCTGAATATGCAATTGCCCCGTATGGAGCAGATCAGTCCACACCAAACAAGTTGATAACTGCGCTCAAATGAGACAAGCAGGATAGTAACAAGGGTGCATTGAAAACCAACGACGCCACTTTCATTCAAATCTATATAGATTGCAGCGGATTATGCAGAACCCTCCAACACGCAGAGGCGCTGCGAGAACACATAGAGAAAATTAAACAGATCGCCGGGACGATCGGCATGCCCTGTACAAAACTCCGAACAACCACGAAAGCGACTAAAATCTTAGGAAAAGCTTCCTTGGAACAAGGACAGGAATGAACCCGCCTGAGTAATTTTCCACTTCCCCAGGTTTCAAATGGGCCGGCCAGACGCTAGACTTTATAAAACGTGGGAAAGAACCTTAAAATAGGATAAGAACGGAGGGTTGCTACAAGTAAAATCCAAAAAACATGGCAAAAAAATGGGGAAAAATAAACCAAGATGATGTGAACTGTGACTGTGGAGAAACACAGAATATGAACATCTTCTTACATGCAGAAACTGTCCTCAATCGATGTACCCTTGAAGATTGTGGCTCGCCAACAAAGATGGAACCGACGTAGCCCGATACTGGCCGAAATTTTATGAATGACATGTCCGGACCGATAAAGTAAGTAAGTAAAAGTAAAGTAAAGTAAAGATGTGAGTACCCATTATTTTTATTATTAGACATTATTATAAACAAATTCACTACGCGAAATACAATGCGAAGAAAAGCGGTGAATTAATTGTTGATGTCCTCGTACTTGGCATCGAACCATTCATGGTTTTTAATATAATTTTTTACCCATTTCTCATTGGCACACTAATGGTTAGATTATCTTTAGTTATGTATTTAGTTTCGATATATGTTTTGAAACCTTTCTACCGTTTGTGGATTTTTGAGGAGTTCAATATTAAGGCGCCTTGTTTGGTAGTTCTCTCCTTCTTCGCATTTGAGATTCTAGCCCGAATTCTTGTGCCAAATAGAAAATGATCTGAATCAATATTGGCGCCCCGATAGGTGCGGACATCCATAAGGTTGGAGAAGTGTCTAGCATCTATGATCACATGAATAATTTGGTTGTTCGTTAATCCATCAGGTGAGGTCCACATGTGAGGATGTGCTTCCTACGATCATGTTCTTTGAGCTGCGAAGGTGACTGTTCGGTGTCCATTCGAATTAGTATTATTATAGAGACTTTATTTACCAACGTGCGGTAGTAGATATTTCTTTCTCTCCGATTTTTGCGTTCCGATCACCGATTACTGTTTTAATGTCATTGTCTGGGACAATTGTCATATGTTCTTTCTAATTCATCATAGAAATTGTCTTTTTCTTCGTCTTCCTTGTCCTCTGTTGGGGCTTGCACATTAAATAAGGCTAATAATAAAAAACTTACTGACCTTAAGCATTCATTCGCAGATTTATTGCTTGAAATCTATAAACAAGTGCTTTACTTTATTATTGACTATAAAGGCTGTCCCAAATTCATGTCTGGTTCTATGGCAACTATAGTAGTTTTGCAGGTTGCTTTTGGATTGTGCCATGGCCTGTCCATCGTATTTCTTGTATTTCAGTAATATCAGCGTTATATTGTGCTAATATGTCACACAGTTTGCGGATGCTTCCAGGTTCTTTAAGTGTGCGAATGTTCCAGGTAAATACATTAAGATCTTTATTTCCATTATTCAGGTCCTTATTTCGTTGCATAGGTCGTCGTCGATATTTCCGTCCGGCATTTTTGACTTTCGATTTCATAACTATGGGGCTATACCGGGTTGGGTAGTTAACTTAACGCCAAACCCCCTTTTCTGAGGGCCATTTCACCTGCTTTCGTCAGTTCCCGACCCAACTTTCCATCCGGGTTGGATACCAGATCTCCAGCTGGGTTGCTCGGTTAACAGCGAAAGATATGGGTTGCTGTAATTATTTATTTAACGAAAAGTAAAAGGAAAACGATGACTAGGAAGGCGAATGATTTCATAGCTGAAAAATCTATGTACATAGTTCAACACAACGACCACAAATCTTTTTAGAGTAGCAGTTTGCAAAATACAGATTGCCATGATGGTCGCCAATATCCAAAACGGATAGGCACTATAAAAAGATTATCATCATCATCATAAGTCCACTGCAGAACATAGGTCTTCCCTGTTTAGCCTTCATTATCTTGTCATCGTGTAGATGTCCACATTCTATCATTCATTCTTGTCACGTGACCAGAACGTCTCCATTTTAATCTAAAAGCTCTCTCTACAACATCTATAACTCTGGTTCTGTTTCGTAGGTCTTCGTTTTTGACCTTGCTTTATTGTTACTCGTTTGTTAATCATTGATCGCTTTATCCTTCTTTGTGCTATCGTTAGTTTAAGGCATTGTTTTTCATCGTCGTGTTACCGTAGTCATTACTGACAGAACACACTGATCAATGACTTTCCGCTTAAGATTAATCGGTATGTTACCATCATTAAATATGTATTTTAGGAGCCCAATATGCTGCTTATTCATATGCTATTTTTCTTGATACCTCATTTATTTCATTGCTTATCCAATTTTGTGTCCAAGTTATAGGTATTAATCAACAAATTCTATTTCTTCTATTTGAATTTTTAAATTGATACCGAACACGAGGTAATATAGACAAAAATAATGCACACAAATCTTAAGATTATGAGTATATTTATTACAGAACATACATACAAGTGTTGAGTACTAAAAACATTCATTATATATACAGCTGTATAACATTTCAGTATTTAACTTTCATTTTTTAACATTTCGTTGTAAAATTGGATGATTACTAGTTCGTAGGTAACGATTGTTCCAGCGATCTAAAATTATAAGTATAATAATAATTGTAAATAAGGTCTAGAAATATATCAACTGTATTTATTAAGATGCTTAAATAATAACTCATAAAACAGTATATAAATGGGCAATAGAAAAGGATTGTGACAATGAAATGAACATAAAAAAATGCAGTTATTGGAAAGAAACAACATATTATGAAACGTTTTATTCGTGGATTCTTTTTCAAGTGCTCTCTCCGCTACGGAGTTTGGCAATCATCATTGCTATTCGTATCTTTGAACCAGTCTCTTAAATTGCGCAGCCAAGATATACGTCGTGGATATAAATACTAATTGTAACAGTTCATCATACAAGGAAAGAATCGTGACAAGCGCGGTATAAATAGGAGAAGAACTTCCTGTGATAAATTGATAATTTTTTGACCAAATAATTTCAACATAGAAATAGTTATTAAAGATCATTTCAAAAAGATTGGTAGAAAGTTTAAAAGAAGATAATAATTTATATAGAGAATCAGGGAAAACAAACAAAAATTAACAAAATAGGGAAAACAACAAACAAATCAGAATATTTCGAAGAGGAGGCCCAAGTGTCCTGTAAAAAATAGTAAAAATCAATACCATGGAAAACATTTTAAGAAATGGTGGAGGTTCCAGGATACTGGTATCTTTTCTTCAGAATCTATCTAACTGGTATCTTCAGAATCTTCTGATGATGGTACTGCTTTTGATCTCAGTTTTTTATTTTAGACTCCACTGGACCCTGGTAGTTCATCTAGGGGAACTGATGTTGGCGATGGTGTTTGATATGTATCGGGCAGAGAAGACACATTATCTTGATATAGTTCAACTACTGGTATAGATATTAATTCTTTTTCACAAAAACATCGGGATTGAAGGGAAAGATCCCTGTGGTTTGAAAACCATTTACAGCCTTTTCAACAGACGCAGCCCTACTAAAGGCATTTTTAACAAGTTCGGCAAAGTCTGTTGTATTGATTTTCTTATATATTTTTTGTTTTATATACTCGTCATATTCTTGGTAGTAAGCTGTCTTGAATGGGGAAAAATACGTGATATTTAGGGGCTGAAGGTGGTGGGAGGTGTGCGGTGGCAGTGAAAGGAGTTTTATTCCGGTGTCACAACAAATATTGTAGGAAGCCAGACTTGAATGCTATGTGTGGTTATCTAGCACTAAAAGAACTGGATGGTCTTTAATAGTATTAACATGCAGCTGAAAATGTTTTAACCATCCAAGAAAAGTTGTTGTGTTGGTTATGTAGTCAATTTGATTTCTTCCGATGTTACGAGTGGTAGCTGCAAAATAAGTTTACTTACCTGTAAAATAAGTTGTCTTCTAACACTAAAGAAGTTTTTGCCGGAAAGGGCTAATTCGTATGTTGTAACTGTTTTAATGAATCTCTCGAGCTGAAAAGAAGCAAATATTGCTTAATTATGATATCTTAGAATCCATGAAGTACATTTTAATAATCAACTGAGATTTATAATCTATCTATATGAAAGGCTAGGACGACATGTCGGAGTGTTTGTCAGGTGGGGTAACTACGCCACCTAGGAAATAAATCTGAATTGCCAACATCTGACATTTCAATCATATTTTGCAGTACGATTAGTTTATAACAGATGTCTTTTAAAAGCACTCTCTTCTTCTATTAAGATGTCCAACTTACCTCACAACTTAATAGTATATCACAAGGTTAAATACAATTGATTATTATTAGACAAATAAAATTAAAACTTACCTCAACATTGTAGGCAGAACTTGATACAGTTTGAAGAATCTGAGATGTTTCCTGCCACTCATCATGAATGCCGCTACCAAATATAATAACGCACGATATTCTGATAACCATTAGACAAAAAGAGATATAAAAATACGCCTTTCTAATGGAGTCGTTGAATTTGGTCAAACTCTTAAAAATTTGTTTAAGGACGAAATACAAGTTCACCAAAAAGCTCAAGAGGATTAAAGTGGAGATTCTTTCGTTGGTGGTTTGACATAAGGCAACGATACGTAGGTAATTTGTCCTGCAGGTTCTCCAAACCTGTAAGTTGCAAATCTAAAAAAGGAAACAATAAAAATAACTGGTGAGTTAATTAATTATTACCTAAATAATATAGTACCCATTCAATTTCGGAACCCGAACTGCGTCTCGCTAATAGCCTCCTCTAGCCTTTCGTATATTCTCTTATGTATTACTTTCAGCAGTACTTTTAAAGTATGACTCATGAGGCTCAGTGTTCGATAATCAATGCACTCTTTTGCTGCTTGTTTTTTAGGGATGGTTATAAATGCTGACTTTACCACTCTTGTGGTACTATTCCGTATCGTACACCGTGTTGAATAAATCTGCCAATACTTCCAAGTTATCCTCTTCCACTAGTTTTAACAGTTCTACTGGTATTTCATCTAATCTAGCTGCCTTATTGTCTTTAGAGTTTATGATAGCATATTTGATTTCATCTATCGTGATCTTCTGTCTCTCTAAAGGATTTAATTCTTGTATTTTCTGCATTTCACCTCTTTCATCTTGAAAAATTTCTAACGTACTCGTTTTATCCGTCGTTTTAATTTCTCTGGTAAATCTATTAGTAGTACTCCTTTTTTGTCTTTTATGTGTCCTTACTGTCTATTTCGACCCATTCCAGTCACTTCTCTTTTACAGAGTGCATTAATATCCCCTATATGAATATCCGTATGTGGATATCGTGATAAAGTTCGTCATACCCAAAAATACCATATGTGGATACGATGGAGCGGAAGGGTTAAATTTTTTTTGTGATATCTTTATATAATATTTATTATACCTTTATCAATAATCTCTGTAATTTTAATACATTAATTGATAATATATATTTTTAATTTACCTCCATTTTACTGTAAATCCTTATTCTTTGGTTAAGCTGTTGTAGTCTAAATTTCAATGCCGATCCTATCAACATTATAAAAACATCAATGTAGTTCCATAAAAAAGCTGATTGTACATTAATGAACTAAAACAGACAAAAAAATTAGATATAAGAAACTGGAACACAAAATTTCACAAGCTCACGATCTTATCATAGCTCAAAAGTCCTCTACCACATTTCACATATTTTTATATTGTTAATGTAACAGTAAGAAAAATAATTATTAACAATCTCACCTCCATCAAACAGCCTATCCAAAAATTATACTTAAAAAGGGAAAAAGGTGCGCCATAATTTGATTGGAAATAATATCTGATTCCTTCGGAGATGGAGACGCTTGCCGAAAACGAGGATTTCAAAATGGAAGCTGTCACCAAATAATGTTCCACTAAAAATGGACAAAGAAATTAAAAAAAAAAAATACTGAACAGTTTGTCTTCTTTTGATGCAGTGTGTTTCCTATAGTACCAGTCTTTACTTATCATTGTTGTTTTCTATTTACCACTACTTTATTTGTTGTTTCGTTTATTTTGCTTTGTGTCAAATTGGGTTCAAATAAGGTTAGATATATTTCCATTCATTTGTTGTTCAAATTTTTCTCTTATTACATGAGTCTAGGTTCCATTTATTAGAGTTTGTTTTAACATGATGTCTTTTTTTCCATTTGAGCTCGCTTATTCTTATTTTTACCAGAAAGTGGTCCATGTCCGCGTTTGCCTCTCTGTAAGATCTGGCTTATAGGAGATTTCAACGCCCAAATAGGCAAAGAAAAATGCTTCAATGCTGTTCATGTAAAACAATGCAATTCTGTTTAGGCCTTGATTGAAAATTTCAATCAACGCATAAACAGAAATGTGGTTTATTACCTGTGGCTAGAATCAACACCGCGATAGCAATGCTGTTTAATTTCCGTTTCAAACTTCCAGGAGTCTCCATATTTGACATCCTAGTTTCAACTTTGTTCCATTCTTTCACATAGTCTGGCCATTCGATGGTTAATTTAAAAAATAGTATTGCTTGGATTGTAGCGTTGATGAAAAATATAACACCGTCTGAAAAGAAAATCATTTAAATGAATAGAGAATATAATGGCTGAATTTTAACACTATATTATTTTAATTATTGTTTAGAAAATGCACGAGGTAGAGAAAATAGAAGAAGCAGAAAAAACATATATTAATAGATTATTGCAAAGAGAAAATTGTTGCAGTTTCGCTATCGTATATAAACATTGGTAAAATATTAACACAGATTCTATAGAACAATAAACGGTTGTTAAATACATTGTTGCAGACAAAAGACTGTTATTCCGTACATTATATGTTAACAAAAAGCCAAAGAAAAATGAGTGGCTTTCGTTAAATGTGCAGATCGCTGGGTAATTATCGCTCACACGTAACGTCAGCTTGTACAAAACAACTCTTGACTCAACGGCAGTCTTAGTCACTACCAGGACCAGACAGTCGTTCCAGTCAGTAGGGGTGGAGGCTGCCCACTCAACAGAGACGAGTTTGATCACTGAATAACAGACAGTTGTTCCCTCCAGTAGAGATGGAGTTTTCTTTGCCATCATTAATACTTTGGTGATTGCTGTAGTTGAGAAGACATCGTTTTCGATAGCGAGTGCTTCATTCTATTGGGATTAAGTAAAACCTACACAAATTCATATTTTTTTATTTATTTTGTTTCAACCACTTAGGGTTATTAGCATAAGAAAAATACAAAAGAGTATCCAAAATTTTGAGCAATGCTTGATTTGAGGTGATATACACAACACATATGTAGTCCAGTTTTGATCTAATTAAAGCTCTATATAAATTTATTAGAGTTGGAAACTCTGTTCCCCAATTTTTATAAGAAACAGATTTCATAATGTTTAGTCCAGCTTGGCACGATAGTCTTAGTGAGTGTATATAACTTTTCCAACTTAATTTTGAGTCCAGTTGCATCCCTAGGAATTTTATTTCTTTTGTATATTCTATAGGATAATTGTATAAAAATAGATTTGAAAGCTTTTGTGGATTGTGTGTGAAAAACTCTGATTCTTTCAATGATATTAAGTTATCTAATGTTGATCTATGTTTCCTAAATCCACTTTGTTTGGGTATAATAAGATGTTTATGTTCCATATACCACATGAGTCGTTTGAAAATGATCTTTTCTAGCAACTTACACATTGCATTTGTGAGAGAGATTGGTCTATAGGATTCTGCTTCAAATTAGGTTTACCTGGTTTCTGTATGGGAACTATGATTGACGAGTACGATATGTGTGGAATACCTTATTGATCCATATAAATTTACATAGTTGCAATAATAGTTCTTGGTCTACTAGGTAGATTCTGTAGAAAAAGCACAGGTATATTATATGGTCCTGAACTAGTATTTCTAATGGAGTTAAGAGTTTCAATAAGTTCAGTCAAGCTTATAGGATTGTTTATTGGTGAAGTGTCATTGATTCATGACATTCCTTCATTTTCTTCAAATTGTTTCAAATTTAAGAATTCTATTGAATAGCTTTTAGCACTAGAAGCGGTACAATATTTGGACGTAAATCTTTAAGTTTGATCTTTTATTAAGTACTTTATAGAGTGTTGTGAAATTTTTCCAGAAATACTTCTAATCATGTTCCAGATTTGACCAATTGGAGTAGATCTATTGATTTCTGAAACAAACTTTTGTCATGACTCTTGCATGATTTTTTTAATAATAAATCTGCATTTAGCTCTTATTCTTTTAAATTCCAAATGATTTTCAGTAGTATTATATCGTTTATATCTATTAAAAGCCGATTTAGATTCCCTTATTGCCTGTTTGCAGGTATCGTTCCACCACGGTACAGGTGAATGTTTTGGATGAAAAGCTGTTTTTCCAAAGGATTTATTCGCTGCATCAATGATGACTTTATTGAAAAAGGATGTTTTCTCGTTAATATCTTGTTCTGAGTCTAACATTTCTCTAAGATTCATAGCTGATGAAGAAATCAATGTTGAGAACAGTGTCCAGTTGGCTTTATTTAAGGACCATCTGGTGATGTGTGTATTGTGCTTATAGTACAACAGATTCTTAACTAAGATGGGAAAGTGTTTCATGTTTTTCTGTGTAGAATTCTATTAAATCTTGTCCCGCGAATTGGGACATTATAACTTTTATTTGGAACATTTATCTTTAACTATTAATAAAACATTTTACATTTATTTGAACACGTATGTACTATATTGTATAATATTTATAGTTTTGTTTAACATTTTTGAATATAAAAACAACGGAATGGAAATAAACTTAGGGAAAACCGAATACCTAACAACAGAAAACAAGGATATGAGAAACCTAGAGATAGACGAGGGAAGACAAGTAAATGGAACAGATAAATTCAAGTATTTAGGAACCATAATATCGAACCAGGGAACAACAGAAGAAGATATAAACAACAGACTAAGACAAACAAGAAACTGTATAAGACAACTAAATTCAGTGCTGTGGGATAAGAACATTACGATAAAGACAAAAAAGAGAATATATAATACCCTGACAAGAAGTATCCTGACATATGGGTCCGAAAACTGGACAATAAACAAGAGAAATAGAGGTAGAATAAGAGCAGTAGAAATGGAGTTCCTGAGGAGAAGCTGTAGACTTACAAAAAGAGACAGAATTAAAACGCAGAGATTAGCGAGAATGGAGTGCAATCAGACATAATCGACTATATAGGAGAAGAGACTATCCTGGTACGGCCACGTCAGAAGAGCGGACAGAGGACGCTGGATAAACAAAATTACAGAATGGAGCCCGATCGGAAGAAGAAAGAGAGGAAGACCCCGAAGGTCATTCAGAGACGAAATCGACGAGGCTATGGAGAAAAGAACCCTGCGAGATGGAGACTGGAATAACAGGGAAAATTGGAGAAAACGGTTGAGTGAAGGAAGACAGTGAAAACTGTGGAAATCCTTAGTAGTAGTAGTTTAACATTTTATAAAATTATTACTCACAACCGCTTAACACACAATTATTTTGGTAGGTATATTGACTCTCATTACACAAGGATCTCATATATATTTTTTTATTAAATAACTTACCCAAACTCAACAGATCATGATGTTCAGGAACGTTTTTGTAGATGGTAATAATAGTGGTGAATAAAAATAGGATTATCGTTAGAATCGAATACACCATTCTCCAGTACAACCATTTAATTTTAAGGGACTCATAGGTGACGCCCCCCACATATAGCGGGAACAAACCGAACACTTGTCCTATCTGGAGTGGCAGTTTCATTGCTGAATGAAGAGTGTTATTTTCTATTTTCGACTGAAGGAGAAGATTATCTGCTTCTGGTTTGGATGTCACATGGAAATACATTTTCTAAAAATGAGTAATTTTATGAGTATAATGGTGTTGTGATAATATAATGTAATTTATGGCCTGACTGTTTGGAAAAGTATGTAGAATTTATCAAATATTTTTAGTTAATATTCATCTTCAACATAATATGATCTAGTGTAATTATATATTTTAACTATTTAAAAAAATCTAAAATATTTTTAAATTTAGAGAAATATACTTATCGTCAATTGCCTTTTAAAGGTACAAAATATCAGAATACACGATAAAAAACGAGGTTCGACAACTAAATAAAAATGTTAAATCCTAAGAAAGCTCCTGGCTATGATTTAACAGAAGAATTACTTCAGAAGCTACCGAGAAAAGCAGTGGTGTTATCAAACTGGAATCACAATCCTCAGACTACCGTCTCATACAAGTCACATTCTCCAGCCATTGGATTTAGCGGTGTTCAAAGCTTTGTGAAGTGGCAGTGACAGTTTGCTGGTCGGAGACTTCCCAAAAAAGTTTTTTCTAAGCTGATTGGGAAAATGTGGACAACAATCAACCCAGAAGTTATCAAAAATGGATTTAAGAAGGGAGGTATCTTTCCATTTGATAATAAAGTTGTACCCGAAGATCGTTACGAGACTTCTTCTTTAAGGCTATGGCAGATTTTAGAGGACGTCAGAGAGCAGCTCCAGGAGACTTCTCTAGATGTGGCAGATGTTGCCATCTTCGAGACAAATTCGTGAGTATCGTATTTAACAATATGATTTTTTTCTCTGTTTTTCAGATGTCCAGTATCTTTCGAACATCTCCTACTACAAACCGTAAAAAGCGAAACACCAACTCCAGCAAAAAAGAAGAAGCGAATTGTAGCAGGCAGTGAAGTAATCAATGCCAGACCCAGCAAAGGAACCATCCAAAACTCAAGTGATGAAGACCAGGTCGATCAGATCTCTCTACACGATGAGTCTGAAGGTAGCGATTTCGTGGGTCAGATTTCGTTAGAAGAAGAAGATGACGAGGAGGAACTATTTCTTGGTTCTAAGCCTAAATTTTCTGTGGAAGACTGGGTTCTGGTGGCTTTCAAAAGCCAAAGTCGGGACAGAAATGACATTTTATACATAGGCCACGTGATTTCTCTCACTGAAAGTGATACCCAGGTGAAGATCCTGAGAAAAAAAAAACAAAGTGCTTTGTTTTTCCTTAGGTGGAAGATATATCCCTGGTGACAAAAGAGGATATCTTTAAAGTATTACCAGCTCCACAAGTTAGGAGAGGAATGCATAATTTCAATATTAAGTTTCCGCAAGATATACAACATAAATTAAAATAAACTGTAAATTTTTGAATTTAAATAAAGTACTTGTCATTTTTTGTGTGTCATTAGACCCTTCTGAAGTTATTTTGTTTCAAAATTATGAAAATTAAAAAAAAAATTAGAACTGTGTTCAGAAAAGCCTAGTAAATAAGTGCACATACCCCGTAATTCAACGCAAGGAAACTATATAAAATGCCGGAGACGCACTTGCCCCCAACTGACGGGGCAAGTGCTCTACTGCGATATGTAGGAGAAAAAAATTGTAATTAATAATCGTGAAAAGCCACAGATGTAGAATCCTCCCTAAATAAAGATCATTGTCAAAGTACTTGCTGCACTTATTCTCGATTTGGCAGAAATAAACCAATTGAAGCATTGATACAATTAAAACCAAATATGAATAAAAGGGGGCGCACTTCCCCCACCTTACCCTACCTACTACTACAAAAGTGGTCGAAAAGAAAAAATATTGCTCACATGTATATATATAATCAGAAATATTTCAGTATAGCAAGTTCTACATTATGTCCTTACCTTACCTGATTTTACGACTCAACAGATTTTATCCTTATATCTTTAGATTATTTAATCAACTGTTTTAATACCTATAATAATATTACTATAATATATAATTCTCCTTGACAAGCTTGACAGCTTAAAATAGAACTAAAACTATAAACATAGAGAAATACAATCTGAGAATTGTTTACACCGTTCAAATAATATTTGTCCAGGTTTGTTTATCACCTTGGTTCATTGTATTAACAAATGTTTATGTTTTCACTAGTAAAAACTTATTGATTCAACTTTATTTCATTGTACATGGATAAAAGAGAGAGAAAAACTATCGCCAGTTTTTATTTCGCGTCATAATTCTGATATTATTGTTATCAGATGAATAGCTAGCGTAATGGATAAACATGTTACTGATTCGAATCTATAAATCTTAGGGATGGTTTAGACGCATTTCTGATGTAGTCTATATCAGCGTTCTTGACGTTTAAGTAAATATGTCATTCATATTGTTAGTATTTACTTAGGAAAGACCTTTTTATTTATAACTATTTCTATTTTGGTTTGTTAAGCGTAAACACTTGAAGGGATATAAAGTGAGTAACACTAAGTTGCAAACCACTATCTTTTGTAGTACTGCTTATCTATAGGTATTTGGATATACCAGCTTAGGGGAAGCCGTGGGAATACGGCGCACGGGGGAATATCGCGCATCAGTATCTTGGCAACACGGCGTAAGTATTGCAACATTCAACACAGTGTGCCGTCTCGTATTTGCTAGCCGATCACATGTTTGTAATATAACTACATTCGTAGTATTGGTTTAGACAAGGTCACAGATTGTTTGTTTTTTCAAGACTTTGATGTAATTTTCGACTAATCTTTAACAAGCGGTAAGTGCTTTTGTTATTAATTTTCATTAAAACTATTCAGTGATATTGCTTTATATGTATAGATAATTTCACGTACAACAATAATGCATTTTATTTAGTCATTAACGAACAGTGATAAGTTAAGTTAGCGTTATTCCCCACTTAGGGGGAATACCGCGTAGCTGTGTCGAGGTAATTTTGTGCTGCGCGGTATTACCCCGTGTAAGAATTTTTGCTAATATAGTGTTTTTATTGAATTTTAGATTCCAAAATGCCCCGTGCTTACGTTCGGAAAACTGAAAGATCAAAATGGACAAAAGATGAACTAAAAGCTGCGATCACTGCTATAGGAACTGGACGAAAAATACGAGAAGTAGGTGTATCATTCAATATTCCAGAATCCACTCTACGTGACAAACTAAAGTCCAATAGCCATAAAAAAATCAAACTTGGCAGGAAACCAATTTTTAATGATGAACCCACCATAGCCAGCAAGTTAGCGAATATGTTTTTTGCTGTCACACCAGCAGAACTAAGGCGTTTAGCATACCAGTTTGCTGAAGAGAATAAAATAAAACACCGTTTCGACTCGATAAAAAGGCTCGCAGGTGAAGAGTGGTTAAAACTATTTTACCAGTCAAAACCGCATTTCTGCATTCAATAAAGATGAGATCAATAAACAATTTTTTAACAATCTGCTCACAGTTATGGAAAAGTTCAAATTTCCATAGAGTCAAATTTTTATGCAGATGAAACGGGCATTTATACGGTCCAGAAATCATCAAAAATTTTGGCACCAAAAGGTCAAAAACAAGTAGAATTCGTAATATCTTGGGAAAAAGGGAAAATGTTAGCATAATATGCACTGTAAATGTTTCAGGACAGTTTGTCCCTCCTATGTTCATATTTCCTTGAATACGTATGAATCCACAATTAATGAGAGGAGGCCCAATTGGAACAATCTGCAGATGTTCAAAAAACGGCTAAATAAATGAAGAGTTATTTGTTGACTGGATAAAACATTTTTGTCAGCATATAAAGGCCTCGAAAGAAGATCCAGTGCTTCTCGTATTGGATAACCATGGGAGTCACATTTCTTTGGAGATTTATACTTACTGCATATCACACGGAATTGTTATGGTTATCACTTCATCTATATACCTCACACAGGCTTCAACCTCTTGAATAAAACTAACTATATAAAGATTATAGACGCATATGCGTCTACATTTTTTGATATAATGTTAGTATTTCTGTTAATATGTCTTTCTAATTTTGTTATACTAACTATACATTTTTTCCTTATGTGTATGTAGTTGTATAGCTACGAAAAGTAAATAAATGACATTCAAAATTTATAGATTATAGTTTTTATTTTAAATAAACAACAAAAATATAAACGTTTATAAAGTTGAAGTCCTGTTTGTTACTTGGCCTTCTTTCAGAAAACTCCCTGCAAATTCCATAAGGACCAATTCGTACGTAACGATGGAACCAGCGATCTGAAACAAGCAATTTAAGTCAGTTTATTAATCAAGGATAATATGTTAACAAACGGAGTTAAAAATAATTCCAACTACGAAACCTGCTAAACGGAAGGCAACTGTGACAGCCTAGAGCGACTACGACAAACAGTTTGTCATTGCGTGCCTTAGTTTGTTGACCAATGAGAACGTCACATCTAAAACGAGACGACTGCTAGAAACAACAGAGATGAAAATACTCCGACGAATATCAGGGAGAAGTCTGTTGAGTAGAGAGAGAAGCGAAAAGAAGAGCATGCAATATAGAAGACATAAATGGATAGGTGATAAAACGGAAACAGGAGTGGAACGAACACATTAGTAGAATGACAGAGGATAGGATAGTACGAATAGCACGAGATAAGTCACCAAATGGACGAAGAAGTATTGGCAGACCAAGAAAAAAATGGTGCAACAATTTAAACAATTTAGGAGGCTTATATTGAAGAAGAAACGGGCTTTAAAGCCTACATACTAGAAGGAAGAAGAGAAGAAGGAAAAATTTTAATATTTAGGTGCACTTATTGATAAGAACGGTTTTAAACATCGAATTAATCAGGAACGAAAAATTGTAGGATGTCTGAACTCCTGACGGTGGGATCGTAACATTTTTAAAAGCAACAAAAAAAAAAAAATAGGGCAAACCATGGTTGAATCAGTTTTTTGTTATGGTTTCGAAGTATGGACTAATGCATACCTGAAGAGAAGATTATTGGGAGTTGAAATGGATTATTTGAGAAGAAGTGCTAAATAAAATATTAAAAAAAACAAAAAAAAATGACATGTAAGTTACAACTTACCTTTAATACAATGTTGCGCCTCAAGTAAAAAAAGTTCATTCCAGACAGGGCCATAGTATCTCTAGTTATCTGAGAAATCAGTCGATCGATCTTAAACAGAGATAATAAATAATTATATTAATTTACTAATACTTTATCGTCAATATGTATATCCATATACAGGCCTTGTAGCACCTAAATAATATTATCCTTCACTCTCTTCTATTCATAACTTTTTCTTTATTTTTTTTCCTTTAAACCTTCCATAATCAGATCAAGTTTTTTTATACAAAATTATAAACAAACTAGTTTCTCATTTTCTTCTACTGTTTGATCTTGCTTATGGACATACTAACAGAGAAAGTAAGGGAGGGGTTCTTTGGTCAATGCTCTTTGCTAATATCAAGTTGGTAGAGGAGCACTGAATGGACGGAGAGGTAGAGGAAAACCGAGAAGAAGATAGAAGAACTGTGTGGCAGAGGACTTGGGAGACAAAGGTTTAGGTGAAGAAGACCCAATGGATCAAAATGAGTGGCGACGAAAAGTAAGAAACAGTAACCACCGAGAAAAGAAAAGCCGAGGAAGAAATAAAAGACATACTTTAGCTTTCAATACCTTTCTTTCATATTGAATGTTTTCCGCTTGTCATTTCACAAGGCTCTTATTGATTTTAAATTATAATAATATTTCTAATATTTCATTTTTGCTTGGCTCTTTTATATATATGCCATCCGCTATATGTTTTGTAGTCTCTTCCATATTAGTCCTTTCTCCATTCACGAATTTGTCAAAATATTCTTTCGATCTATTAATTGCGTCAGCGCGATTACCTATTATGTCTCCGTTTTTATTTTAACGGTAACTTGCCCTATTCTTATAATCACTTTTTATTTATTTAATATCTCTATAAAAGTTTCATCATTTATCATTATCTCATAATTTCTTCGTTTTTCGAAGTTCTTGAAATCTGTATCTAGCTTCTTCACTGCCGGTTTTATGTCTTTTTGTCTGAAAAATTATCTAAGTTAGAAAAATTGTCTCATTTTATATTGTTTGGTTTCCCAATCGTGTTTTTCTTTGTTTTTTTCTTTCGATCCATATCTTTTTATTGTTTCCATTATTACTCTGGTCATTTTTTTCAAGTATTTTCTACTTCTTGGAATTTCATATCTCTATAGTTGGAATTAATATATCTTTTCTAATTTTCTACTAATGTATTTTCGTAAATACATGATTTAAACAATTAAAACTGTCACAAATAAAAAATGAAGTAAACTTCAAATATATTACACTAATATATTATAATCTGTAAAGTGGAGAAGAATAAAATAAAGTAAAGAATGAAGAATAAAACAAACAATAATATTATAAATATGAAAAATGTCAACAATAAAAGTAACCGATTATAAAGGTTAAGAAAGAAGAGGGAAAAAAGAAGAAAAACTAGTTAAATATAATAGTATATTACTTTTCTTGACGCGCCGATATACGCGAGGGGCGCGTAATAGAGGGCAAGTCAAGAAAAGTCGCTTCTTTGCCGAATAAAGTATACTATTTTTTCTTCAAACGTAGCAATTTTCAACCATAAATAGTACAAATTCATACGCTATTTACTCGAAATTAACTGTGACAACTATCAAAGTCGTCTAGATGTTAGAAATTAAAATAATTAAGTAGTCGGTGGGATTTGCGTCTCCCTGGTTACAGTTGTTTGACAGTTGTTGCAATTATTAAAGACAGCTTATTGTTGTTGCAACCGCAAGCGCAAATTTAGTGCGAAAATGGAAAACCTAAACGAAATTGAGTCCGCGGCTAATGATGCAGTAGCACGTTTGGGGCCCTCCAAGTCCGGAATAAAGTATCGGTTAGCGTACAAGCACTTCCAAGAGTGGTGCGATACAAGAGGAGCACGGCAAGTTACCGAAGACGTTTTAGTGGCATATTTTAATATAATGGAAAATGAAAATAAATGGAAATCTTCTACAATGTGGTCACGATACTCTATGATAAAATCCGAGTTAGTATTAGAAAAAATGTGGATATAAGCAAATTTTTAAAGTTAGGTGCCTTTCTGAAAAAAAAACAAGCGAAGGATATACTGCAAAGAAGTCTAAAGTTTTCACTAAAGACGAGTTTGATAAACTTTTGTTTGAAGCGCCAGATAAGTTGTATTTAGGATTAAAGGTAAAAAAAATTATATTGCAAAGCATGTAGTATACTCTACTAAATTATAAAAATATTTCAGATTGTTTTGTTAATTGGGGTTACCGGCGCCTGTCGATGCAACGAAATGGTAAAAATGAAGACTGTGCACATTGAGGATAAAGAAAATGTAATAATTATCAAAATCCCAGACAGTAAAACACGACAAATTAGATCTTTTACGATAATTGGTCAAAACTACATTAAACTGTATAAAAAGTATGCATCACTGCGGCCTGAAAATTTCACAGAAAACCGATTTTTTATCAAGTACCAAAATGGAAAGTGTTACCGAAGCGTCATGGGAATACATTCGATCAGCGCAGTAGCCCAAAAAAGTAGCCCAAAAAAACTTCAGCAACACTTTTAATTGATGGAGGTGGAAATCTAGAATGCTTAAACGACATAGGGGCTGAAAATCAAGCACGGTTCCGAAGGATATATAGAGGATTCAATAAGAAATAAGAACGATAATGCTCAAAAAATTTTAAACCCTCATGATTCGCCAACATCGGGAATGATTGCTGAAAGTTTTTCTCGACCATCAGCATCATCAACAATTACCAATGCGTATCAAGAGTCGGGAACATTTTTGCACGGTTTCAATTTTGAAAATGCCTCATTAACTAATTGTACTTGTAATATTACTATAAATAAAAATGATGTTTAATTGTTGTTAATGACATTTGTATTGTTGCTTTGTGACATGTTTCATATTGTTGCCATGACAACATTTTTCCCTCCGCCGCGCCGTAAAGAAATATGAAAAAAAAACTGCTGCCGGCGGACACATCAAACTTTGACAGGATCAAGTTAGATAAGTAATGTCATCATTATTTGACGTTTGAAGAAAAACGAAATTTATCATTACCAATAAACACTTCTTACCTCAACATTTCGGATACAATTCTGCGCAGAATACAAATAATTCAACAGTTTTTTACTTTCTTCATTAATTCTAGAACCAAATATACATACAGCGACAATTTTTGACAGAAGAAAAACAAAGGCGTAATACAAGTAGGTTTCTTGAATAAAACTTCTCACTTTTAAGCTGTTAAATAATTGGATAAGCAACAATCCTAAATTACCAATGAAGGAGATGAGAATGGCGTATCCTATTTTGGAGTTGACGTATCTGCACAAGATTTCCAAGCGATTGTAGCCTTCGCGAATGTGGATCCATACCTTTTCAGCAACATTCTAAAAGAACATATAGTTTAAATTTTATTTATATTGTAATTTTTAGAGTCTTGAGAATTAAAATCTTAGATTTCCGGTGATCCAAAGAAAAATCCTTTGTAATTTGAGCTCAATAAGTCTTATTGTTCTTCTTATACTTTTTGCTTTGCTTGACGCAAGACTCCTAGAGTCTTGGTGCATTTCCTTCTGAAGTAAGAAGAAAGATTATTACATGATTATTTTCAAGATTAGTTATGCCTTTTCTTTCTCTTGAAGAACAAGTCTTGTAGAGTATTAAATTTGATACAAAGTTTGGTCTTTTGTGTAAACAAAGAGCTCTACTAATTTGGGGCAAATGGTTCTTTTTGTTCCGCTGATAATCCTATTCTTTTTTTTTAAAGAAAGTCTTAAAGTGTTGGTATCTTCATCTAATCTTTTTGGTGTTAAGAGGAACATTAGTACCTACAACATAGTTAAGAGGTTTTCTTATTCTTCTAATATTATTAGGATTTTTCTTCTCATTAAACCTAAGTCTAAAAGTCCTAGAGTTTTGGTATATACTTTCTTCTGAGAATAAAGAAAAACATTATTACGTTTGGAGTTTTGAAGCAAAAGTCTTAAAGTTTTTTTTTTCTTCTTAAACCAATAGTCCTAGAGTTTTGGTATATAGTTTCTTCTGGGAATTAGGGAGAACATTATTATGCTTTGAGTTAACAGATATTCTTGTTCTTCTAATATTAATATGTTTTTTTTTCTGCTTGAACTAAAATTCCTAGAGTTTTGGTATATACTTGGTTCTGGATATAAATAAGAACATTATTATGTTTGAAGTTACCAGATTTTCTTTTTCTCTACTATTATGTTTTTTTTCTCCTCGAAAAAAAAAAGTCCTAGAGTCCTAGTATATACTTTCTTCTGGATATAAGGAAGAACATTGTAATGTTTGGAATCAACACATTTTCTTGTTCGGTTTGTCTTCTCTTTGAACCAAAAGTCCTAGAGTTTTGGTATTTACTCTGTTCTGGCTATAAAGACGAACATTAGTACGTTTGGAGTCACCACATTTTCTTATTCTGCTGATATTCTTATGACTTTTCTTTTTCTTAAAGGAAAAGTTATACAGTTTTCAAACTTGGTACATATGTTCCTCCTGATGATAAGTATGACAATTGTGTTTCTCGTTCCTCCGCTTTATTCCCAACCTCTTGATGATGGATGCTGGTGAAATTCCATTTCACTTGAGATTAATTTTTCCCATGCCGATATTGCTAAGCCTTCTTAGAAGAAATAACGGAAGATATTTAACGGTACTTCTAGGGGTAGGAGACCATCCGCTGCCTGTCTACTTAATTTGAATATTATCAGTCAGTTCAAAACAAGCTATTACCACAGTCGGTAGCAAAATCTCGTAAGATAACAGTAGCTAGCTCGCAAATTCGCTTAGTAATATATTATATGTATTTGTAACTAAATAGTTCGCATCGCAATATTATTCATTAAGATTTTAAGTCAATCATTTATAGTAATCAGTGTTTCTTCAATCCGTAGTATAGTTTTTATATAAAAACAGTTCATATAGTCAAATCAACTGCCAGTAGTTCGTTAACATAGAAAAGACATTCCGCTAAGCAATTCTACTTGTAAGTAGTTATATATAATAGTGAAAATATCGCCAGTGAAAAGTGTACTTGAAATACCCCATATCACAGCGTTTTTGAACAGATTTCACGAATTGTTATTTAATCTTAGTATTAAATATAAGTTAGTGTTTAAATCTGTTTTTCATTTCAGCCCCAGGCTGGTGGTCCTTCGTAGTTCTATTCTTTAAATACGCTAATATCCAACCAGATGCTGTTGATTTTTATTTTTGTCAATACACGATTTCAACAACTAGAACCGACACAAATAAAAATACATAAACTGCATATATCTGACACAAGTTTCGTAAAAAAATTATTGTATTTTTTTTTGCTTACTTTGCTCGCTGAAATTTTTTGCATTCTTTTGCCCACTACCTGAACTTTTCCTGCCAAAGACAGGCTTACAGTTATGATGAAGATATCCAGTAGTGTTCCAGCAAATAGAACTTGGAAATGGACAAACTGAAAAATTGTTAAATTTTAAATGTTGGTAAAAAAACGTATCGTGAAATATAAAATTAGATTATAGGGATTCATATTTTCTAAAATAGATAGTAAATAAATAGTACAGTGAATAAAGGTAAAAATTAACTATTACCTCCGATTGCGGTGAACCTCCATCGATTTGCATGAAAAGGCTATAGCGGGATAAGATGGTCAAAATTGCACCATGCTTGATTTAGTTTTGGGTTTGGCCATTCAAAAGGACATAATTAAAATCTCACTCAGTTAAATTTTCAAGTCCCTAGGTGCCTCTGGGGGTTCGCTATGAGAAAAAACGTATTAAAAAAAAATTTTTTTTAGACGCTGTATTGCTACAAAAAATCTGAAAAAATTTATGAAAGCGTAGTTTAATAATACAATACCACCCGATTTTTTTCAGATTTTTACCTTGAAAATTGAGCCCAGGAAAAATATTTGAAATTTTCAGTAATATTTTAGGTTATGTCGGAAATTTTTGGCCAACTTTAAAACAATGATTTTTTTATGGATTTTTTTCCCGTTCTTTTCGAATGGCATAGGCTGTATTATCATTTTCAACGTGGAAAATGTCTAAAACTGCTTTTTTTTGGCATTTTTTCTGAAGCATCCCCACCCCTTAACAATAAATTGTATAGGCCCAGAAACAAAACAAAAACAAAAAAAAATATAATAAAAAAATAATAAAAAAAAGTATTACATAGAAAACAAAAAATTTATTTATACTGCCATAAGATACAATATTGTCAGTTTTTATAAAAAAAAAAAATTATTAATAAAATAAACATAAATTAGGTTTTTTAGTGAGATAGATGACTCATAACCTTAACAACATACACCTAAATTAATGTTAATTGATATTTTTATATGTATTCTTACCTTTACAATCGAAATAAGCTATTAAAACTATTATTTTTTTCCTGCAGCATGCTAAAAAAAAAACGAAAAACCTCGTTTTTTTGGCGTTGTTTTTAAGCTTTCGCTATATAATCTCTAAATTCAGTGTCTAAATGAATAGTAATTTACATTTTCACATGTATCTTTCCCCTTACAATCAAAATCAGCTATTCAAAGCATTAGTTTTATCTCACAACAAACTGAAAAACCGAAAAAACCCCAATCTCTCCATGTTTTTACTACATAACCTCAAGAGACTCTGACAACTGAATCGTGAATTAGAACGCACTTATACACTCAAAACTTGTGAAATTAAAAGCTAGCGAATATATCTACATATATATGTGATATTATATCACAATGTAGGTACATGCATTTGTACATTGTGATATGTACAAGTGCGTTCTAATTCACGATACATTTTTCAGAGTCTTTTGAGGTTATGTAGTAAAAACATGGAGAAAACGGGGTTTTCCGGTTTTTCAGAAAGTTGTGAGATAAAACTAATGCTTTGAATAACTGATTTTGATTGTAAAGGGAAAAATACATGTGAAAATGTAAATTACCATTCATTTAGACACTGACTTTTTCGTTTTTTTAGCATGCTGTAGAAAAAAAATAATAGTTTTAATAGCTTATTTCGATTGTAAAGGTAAGAATACATATAAAAATATGAATTATCATTAATTTAGATGAATGTTGTTAAGGTTATGAGTCATCCATCTCACTAAAAAACCTAATTTATGTTTATTTTATTAATATTTTTTTTTATTTTATAAAAACTGATATTATTGTATCTTATAGCAGTATAAATAAATTTTTTGTTTTCTATATAATACTTATTTTTTTTTGTTTTGTCCCTAGGCCCATACAAAAAAGCATGTTTTTTCGATTTTTAGGCATTTTTAACGTTGAAAATAATAATAATACCTCTGCCATTCGAAAGAACGGGAGAAAACCCATAAAAAACATTGTTTTAAAGTTGGCCAAAAATTTCCGACATAACCTAAAATATTACTGAAAATTTGAAATATTTTTCCTTGGCTCAATTTTCAAGCTAAAAATCTAAAAAAAAATCAGGTAGTATTGTATTATTAAACTACGCTTTCATGAATTTTTTCAGATTTTTTGCAGCAATACAGCGTCTAAAAAAATTTTTTTTCTTTTAATACGTTTTTTTCCCATAGCGAACCCCAGAGGCACCTAAGGACTTGAAAATTTAACTGAGTGAGTTTTAATTATGTCCTTTCGAATGGCCAGGCCCAAAACTAAATCGAACATGGTGCAATTTTGACCATCTTATCCCGCTATAGCCTTTGGGATTGAGTATATTTTACTCTCAACTTCAAAAGTGACATATGCTCAACTTGCGTTTTTTGCATTTTAGGGTGAAATCTACCCCTTTTTTTAAAGATGGTAAAAAATATAGATTTAAGCATTCTGGCATAAGTAATCTCGATTAATTAAATAAAATAAACATTTATAAGCATAATTTATGATTTTAATTAATTTTCCAAACCTTTTAGCAACTATCTATTAAATCGAAAATCATGAAAATATCGTTTTTTATATTTCTGAAATATCAAATCGCACATTAATATTACCCAAATAGCTTCTTTATTATTTATGATATAATTTTTGATCGACTGGTAAATTTCAACCCTTAAAAATCACCCCCTTAAGCAGAATCATTGAAAAAATTAATTTCAAGAAACTTTAATTATTTGAATAATACTGAATTGAAATCTCATTTACTCAGTATTAAAGTATTTATTTATTTATTGCATAATTTTGCACCCTTAAAAACTATCCCTTGTCATAAAAATAATGAATAATGTTTTTTATTAGCTTCAATAGCTTTAATCATTTAGAAACTTTTTTATTGGTTATGAAACTTTATTAATATTATTCTTTCCACATTTCCTAAACAATTTTTCCAGTGCTTATGTGACTTATAAAAATTTAATTTTATAGTTAAGAGGATAACGTAAAAAATTATATTAATATAATATAAAAAGTTCATTCATTTTTTATTTACGTATTGTTTAATAAATTACTCAAATATTAAAAGTACTTTAAATGTGAATTTTTTACCCTTCAGAGCTCTCTTCACCAATTTCTCCTTTTTTCATTAATTGGAGGGCTATTTTAGCAATTGCCCTCCGCAGACTGCATTGCAACATAACCCTACTCTTCGACATTCGCAATTCTTCTGAAGCAGGTGGATTGGAATTTTTAGTTGGAAAAAAAGACTCTTCAATTTTGCACCATCCCCAGTCAACTGGACGAATGTCTTTGTTTCCAAGCCATATCTGGGTTTGTAAATAAACTCTTTTGATGTGTTCATCCAATGCAGCAATCGTTGGGACCAGAGATGAAAACTAGATGGATAAAGGCCCATCCCTTTATCGATGAAGTGACTTTAATCGTTGCAGCTATATCTGTTAAGTTAAACTGAAATATTCAATAGAGACACAGCATACTAGAAAGTCCCACTATGTTTTTGAGTAGATATACAGAATTCCTTTCACTAGCTTCTTCTATCTTCAAAATATGCATACACGCATCCACATATGTATATTTCGTAAGCATATACCTATCGACACATCTACTTCTTATGAGCTATCTGTTTTCCTATATATACATACAAAATCTCTTCTTCTTGTAGTGCCTATCCGTTTCGGATGTTGGTGACCATCATGGCAATCTGCACTTTGCACACTTCTGCTCTAAAAAGATTTGTGTTGTTGTGTTGAACTACGTTCGTAGATTTTTCAGCCAGGAAATCCTTCGCCTTCCTGTCCCCGTTTTCTTCTACTTTTCCCTGCAAGATTAGTTGCAGCAGTTCATATCTTTCGCTGTTTCTCATGATGTGACCGAGGTATTCGATTTTGGCTGTTTTTATTGTGGTTAACAGCTCTTGTTCTTTTTTCATTCTCAACAGAACACCCTCATTAGTAAATCTCTACTCCACAAATTTTTCTAAAAAAATGTTATTGATTTTTTTACAATAATTTAATTAGTTAATTAGTTAATAACTTTTTATGATATTAGGTTCATTCAAAAACCATTTGAAAGGTAATTTCAAGGACTAAAAAGATGTATTAAATTTAATCTTTTAAATCCCTTATTTTTTTAAAGATAAAAGGTTAAAGGGCCACGGTTACATGGTTCTCGCAGTAAAATTTAGGTTTAAAACGTTTTTATCTCAGTTATTTTTTATCCTACAAATTTATATATATATTATATATATATATATATATATATATATATAAAGAAAATATTTGTTAAAAAAAAAACATCAAATTTTTTAAGTATATCGAGTATATATGAAGTTATGCCTAAAAAGAAAATGAAATTTATGAAAATTTGAAAAATTCTGGTTTTTCTAAATAATTTTTTTTTTTCAAAGATATGCATTCTAAACCGGTCAAAATTTTTGAGGTCATTCTTCTTCTTACGGTGCCTTAACTTTAAGGACGTTGGCCATTACATTTGTCCATTTAATCTTATTTGTAGCAGCCCTGAATAGTTCTATGGAGGTCATGTTCGTCCATTGCCGTAGGTTTTTAAGCCAAGAGTTGCGTCTTCTTCCTGGTCCTCTTTTGCTATTGACTTTGCCTTCGATTATAAGTTGGAGCAGTTCATACTTTTAACTTCTTATGAAGTGACCAAAATATTGTGTTTTCCATTCGTTTATTATAAGCATAAGCTCTCTTTCCTTATTCATCCTCCGCAAGACTTCCGCATTTGTCGTATGGCTCATGTAGGATATTCTGAGCATTTTACGTTAACACCAGAGTTCGAATGCTTGGATTCTTTTTTGTGTTGCTTCTGTCATTGTCCAGGCTTCGACACCATAGAGCAAGGTGGAGAAAACATAGCACTTAAGTATTCTAGTTCTCAATGAGATGCCCAGCTGGCGGTTGCATAGAACTTTTTGCATTTTGTAAAACATTATACGTGCCTTTTCCAGGCGCATTCTTATCTCTAGTGAGTGGTCCCAAGTTTCATCAAGATTACTTCCAAGGTATGTGTTTCTTGTTACTCTTTCCAGATCTGTTCCGTCGACATTGACCTTCACC